AAAGGATCCAGAATAGCTTATACAATTTAAAGTTGGTGGACTGAACTCAACTTCAAAACTACGGTAAGCCTGGGCAACATAGCAAGACTTCATTTAAAAAGAATTTTTTTTTTTTTAATTAGCAGGACGTGATGGCACATACCTGTAGTCCCAGCTACGCAGGAGACTGAAGAGGGAGGTTTGCCTAAATCCCAGAGGCCGAGGCTGTGGTGTGCCATGATCAGACTGGGTGACAAAGTAAGATCCCCAACTCAAAAAATAAATAAAACTACTGTAAAGCTATAGTAATCAAAACAGTGTGGTTCTAATGTAGCAATAAGCAGAAGAATTGAGAGTCCAGAAACAAACTCTTACATTGTGGTCAACTGATTTTCAATCAAAATGCCAAGGTTGTTTCAATAGAAAAAGAATCATTATGTCAATAAACGGTGACAGGCAAGGATGTCTTTAGAGACTAAAGTCACCATGCACAAAAATCTACTCGAAATGGATTACAGATCTAATGTAAAAGAGCCAAACCTAAAAAACTCCATGAATAAAACACAATCTTCACGATTTTGTACTACGCAGAATTCTCACAAATGACAATAAAAGCATGATATACAGGAGAAAAAAATTGACAAACTGGACTTCAAAACTAAAAACTTTTCCACTTCAGGCCAGTTACGGTAGCTCACATCTGTAATCCCAGCACTGTGGGAGGCTGAAGCAAGAGGATCGCTTGAGCCCCGGAGTTTAAGACCAGCCTAGGCAACAAAGCGATACCTCATCTAAAAGAAAATTTTTTTTTTAATTTGTTGGGCATAGTGGTACGTGTCCCACCTACTCAGGAGGCTGAAGCGGAAAGACTGCCAGAGCCCAGGAAGCCAAAGCTGCCGTGAGTCATGACTGTGTCACTGCACTCTAGCCTGGGGGACAGAGTGAGACTCCGACTCAAAAAAAAAAGAAAGAAAATCTTTAAAAAGCTCTACTTCAAAAGTCATCATCAAGATATAAAAAAAAAATGACTGGGGAAAAACAATCTGATAAAGGACTTATATCAATAATATGGGAAGAACTCATTTTTTTTTTTTTTTGCCAGGACCAAGAGATTTATTAAAGTGGCTGTTACACAGGGGATCTGTAACGGGGGAAAAGGAAAAGAGAGAGAGAAAGAGAGAGTAAGAGAGAGAGAGGAAGTGGGAGAGAGGCAGGGAGAGAGCTGCAGAGAGGGAGAGAGCGACACAGAGAGAGAGAAAGAGAGACCGAGAGCGGGAAGAACTCTTACAACTTAAAAATCCAATGACAGCCGAGCACAGTGGCTCACACCTGTAACTCCAGCACTTTGAAAGGCTGAAGGCAAAAGGATCACATGACCCCAGGAGTCTGAGACCAAACTAGGCAACACAGAGACCTCGTCTCTACAAAAGATCAAAAATTAGCTGAGTGTATAGGCGCACACCTGTAGTCCCAGCTAACTGGCAGGATGAGGCAGAAAGATCACCTGAGCCCAAGAGGTCAAGGCTGCAGTGAGCCAAGATTGTGCCAGTGCACTCCAACCTGGGTGGCAGAGTGAAATGCTGATTCAAAACAAACAAACCAAAAAAGTCCAATTACAAAATGGGCCAAAGATCTGAATAGACATTTCAGCACAAAAGATATACAAGTGACTAGCACGTCCATAAAGATACTCAACATAAAGATTAGTCACCTGGGAAACACACACTAGAACTACAGTGAGACCCCACTACACACCATTAAAACAACTATAGTCAAAACAACTATAATCAATACCAAGTACTGGCAAAGATGTGGAGAACCTGCAATGCTCAATACATGGTTTGTGGCAATGTCAAACAGTATAGTCATGGTGGCAAATAATGTGGCAGTTTCCAAAAGGTCATTCATAAACATATCATGAAAACCAATAGACAAGGTTGAGGCCGTTGGAGGCCATGATGGTGCTACTACACTCCAGCCTGGGCAACAGAGTGAGACTCTGACTAAAAAAAAAAAACAAAAACAAAAACCCAACAGTCCCACCCTTAGTTACTGATCTACCCAAAAGTTATGACAACATGTGTCCACAAAGAGTTATACACAAATGTATATTATTCAGTAGCATTATTCACAATAGCCAAGAAGTAGAAACAGCCCAAATATCCCTCAACTGGTGAATGCATTTAAAAAAAAAAACTCTTTAAATTTCAATAGAATATGATTCAGCAATTAAAAAAAAATGAGCCGGGCTTGGTGGCTCAGCCTGTAATCCCAGCGCTTTGGGAGGCTGAGGTGAGTGGATTGCCTGAGCCCGCGGGCTCAAGACCCGCATGGGCAACTCGGCAAGACCTCATCTCTACAAAAAAATCAAAAAATGAACCGGGCGTGGTAGCGCACGCCTGTAGTTCCAGCTACTTGGAAGGCTGAGGCAGAAGGATCGCCGGAGCCCAGCAGGTCGAGGCTGCGGTGGCCAGGAGCGTGCCACTACACTCCAGTCTGGGTAACAGAGTGAGACACCAACTCAAAAAAAAAAAAAAATGATGTAAGTGAAGGGAGTCAGATGCTAAAAAATCTGCAGAAACAGAGATGATCAGTAGTTGCCTACAGCTGGTAGTAACTTACTACAAACAAGCAGGAGCATCTTTTTGAGGGAAAGGTTCTAAAACTAGATTGCAGGTACAAGTACAGTGGCTCATGCCTGTAATCACAGCATTCTAGGAGGCCGAGGTGGGAAGATTGCTTGAGCCCAGGAAATCAAGACCAGCCTGGGCAGCATAGCAAGACCTTGTATCTACAAAAAAAAATTTAAAAATTAGCAGGGTGGGGGGAGGAGCAGGGAAAAAAATAGCCAGGTGTGGTGGCATGTGCCTGTAGTCCCAGCTACTTAGGAGGCTGAGGTGGGAAGATCGCCTAAGCCCAGGAGATCAAGGCTGCAGTGAGCTATGATCACACCACTGCACTCTATCCTGGGCAACAGAGTGAGACCCCAACTCAAAAAAAAGAAAAAGTCTTATCACTGTGGGAATGGAAGAAAAATAAATAAATCTCACAGTCATGGGGACAAAGACTAAGAAACTGCTCCAGATCTAAAAAGATTAAAGAGATATGGCAGTTATAGACAATCCTTCATTCTGGATTGAATCCTGGCTAAGGGGGAGAAGAGTGTGTGTGTGTGTGTGTGTGTGTGTGTGTGTGTGTGTGTATGTGTGTGTGTGTGTGTGTGTGTGTATACAGTGAGCTCCCTATATACGAATCTTCAAGCTGTGAACCTTCAAAGATGCTAATATGTTTTCGCATATTCAAGCAAGTTAGTTCACATGTCTGGTGCACAATGTCATGTGTATGCATCCTCTACAAGCGTTTGTGTTTTTGTGCACTGCACTGTACTACTGTACTTTTCAAGGTACCATACTGAAAGATATAAAATGTTTTAGTTTCTGTGCTTGTTTTTTATGTATTATTTGTGTGAAAAGTACTATAAGTCTATTACAGTACAGTACTATATAGCTGATGGTGTTAGTTGGGTACCTAGGCTAACTCTGTTGGACGTAAAACAAATAGGACTTCTGAGCGCACTCTTGGAACGGAACTCATTCATCTGTTGGGGACTTGTACATAAAAAGTCAACTCCCCTAGACTGTACTTATGAAGATATGTTAGACTGTAGGATGTTCTAAAAATCCAATCAAGCTCTAAAATGTGGAGGTTTACTGACACTTCTCTTAGGACCACTCTTTCTTTCCTTTGTTTCTGAACCGGAATGACTTCCAGGCTGGGAGCCAAAATGGACCTCAGGCCTAAACTGCTCAGACCAAGCCACCCACAGAACTAATGTTCCCCAGGGGGTTATCCCTGGCTCTCAAATTTAAAGAGTTAAAAGTAGGTTTAAGACCTACAGGCCAGGCACGGTGGCTCACCCCTGTAATCCCAGCACTTTGGGAGGCTGAGGCAGGAAGATCTCTTGAAGTCAGGAGTTTGAAACCAGCCTGGACAGCATACCGAGACCCTTGTCCCTACACAAAATTTTAAAGAAATTAGCCAGGCATGGGGGCGCACGCCTGAAGTCCAAGCTACTTGGCAGGCTGAGGTGAGAGCATCCTGTGAGCCCAGAAGTTTGAGGGTACGGTGAGCTATGATCACACCACTGCACTCCAGTCTGAGCAACAGAGAAAGACAAAAAAAAAAGACCCATAAAAAGTGACTTCTCAACTACAGTAAGTACTTTTACAACTAGCAGAGTATCTGACAAAAATTAAATAGGCAGAGGCCAGGGAGAAGAACCCTTATAAACCTGCAGGCCTGGACGACAAGAAAAGCCGGCCTGGTTGGAAACAACATCTGCCTGCCTCTTTCCATGCTTCTCCCTCTGTTCTGTCCTCCCTCCCTGGAAGTGCTGGCAGTTTCTATCGAGCAATCTCTCTCTCCCTCTTCTCAATCCTACTTACTGTATCTCTCACATTATATTTCATACCTTACTCAGCCTATTAGCTGATGTTTCTTTTCATGTCTTCCTCTTGTGTTATTTCAGTCTGTAAATAAGCAGAGGTATATCTGAAATAATGTTCACCAAATGCTTCCAAATGGTAGGACTTGGGGTGATTTCTTTTTTTTTGGTACAACTGCTTGAACCTTATATAATGATCATGTAGTGTTTTAACCCCAAAAAATAAAGCAGCATTGTATTTTTGTTAACACTAATTCTAGACAAGTCAGTTCATATTCCCTCTCCCTTGCATTTGAAAAGAAGAAAAATATTTTCAAGTACTTTTCCCTTACGAATAATCTTTAATTAATTTTGTATTCCCCTATGAGGACCCTCTGAGAAAAAAATAAAACTCTCTCCTTCCACTCTCATTCTCCATCCAAACTTCACCCCATCCCGGTGACACAGGAAGGAGCCACAGGACAGAGGCAACGGGACAGAGAATAAGGAGGAGGCATGAGGAAGCACTGACTGGGACACAGCTTGGGAACAAGTCCCGGACTTCTTTCTTTCTACTCCCTATTCCCAGATTTCTCACCAGAAAGATGTCTGCATAGCCGGCCAAGGACTCCACGCCCTCCTGGATCCGTGCTCCCCCAGAGTCGTTCAGTCCAATCACGGGGGCCCCCACTGTCACGGCCTGGTCCATGATCTGAGACAGCAAAGAAACCTTTTGTGAGATAACTACTCTTGCTATCAAAAAGAACATTTACAAACCTCCACGGTATTTTCTAGAAAATGTTCTGAATGCATTTTTCAAACTAGGAGGCAGTAACACTGGCTTCATTCCCCATGATGACTGCGTACCTTTACAGAAGACAAAGGACCAGGTATTTATTTATTATTTTTTTGAGTTAGAGTCTCACTCTGTCACCCAGGCTGGAGTGCAGTGGCATGCTCACAGCCACTGCAGCCTCGACCTGCTGGGCTCAGGCAATCCTTCCATCTCAGTCTTACTGGAACTACAGGTGTGTACTACCACACCCAGCTAATTTTTTGATTTATTATAGAGACGAGGTCTCACTATATTGCCCTGGCTGGTCCCAAACCCACAGGCTCAGGCAATCCTCTCACCTTGGTCTCCCAAAGGACTGAGATTATAGGCTTGAGCCACCACACCCAGCCAGGACCAGATATTTAAAAGGCTGATTAAATCCCCAAACAGTCAAGAGCCAACTTTCCTTTAGCAGGAAATAAAACTGCTCATGTCAACCATGTCTAGAACACAGGCTCAGGTTGTCATATTTTCCAGCTGCCAGTTTTATTCCCAGTTACTCCTCTGAAATAACTTACAGTAGACAGAATGGCAAAGTCACATTTTCATAAAAGTACATGTTGACCAATCTATTAACCTGAGGCCAGGCCCAGGCTTGCTTTTACTTCTGATGTGACAGATTTTCCTCATGGGTCAATAGTCCTGACAGCATAATTTTTACAGTCTTTGACAGGGTACAAAGCACTTTCACTACCATTATCTCATTTGCCCATCATACTAGAGGCAGTAAAGAGAGAAAAATTAGGAAGGTTTAAAAGTTAAGTGATTAGCTGAGTGCAGTGGCTCACGCCTGTAATCCAAGCACTTTGGGAGACAGAGGCAAGGCAAGAGGATGACTTGAGCCCGCAGGTTTCAGACCAGCCTGAGCAATTTGGTGAGACCTTGTCTCTACAATAAATCAAAAAATTAGTCAGGTGTGGTGGCGCACGCCTGTGGTTCCAACTACTTGGAAGGCTCAAGTCGAAGGATTGCCTGAGCCCAGCAGATCAAGGCTGCAGTGGCCACAAGCATGCCACTGCACTCCAGCCTGGGTAACAAGTGAGACTCTGAAACAACAAATTATAAATAAATAAAAGTTAAGTGATTGGCCCAAGGTCTCGGGAGCAATACATGACAGGACCAGTTTTAGAATTCAGGTGCTCCAGCTCCTGAAAGTCAGCTCAACCTTTAATTCCAAAATTTTCTAAATATGACCACACTTGCCGGGCTCAGTGGCTCAGCCTGTAATCCCGCGCCTTGGGAGGCTGAGGTGAGTGGATTGCCTGAGCCCGTGGGTTCGAGACCCGCCTGGGCAACTTGGCGACACCTCATCTCTACTATAAATCAAAAACTAGCCGGGCGTGGTAGCGCATGCCTGTAATTCCGGCTACTTGGAAGGCTGAGGCGGAAGGATCGCCGGAGCCCAGCGACACAGTGAGACTCCAACTCAAAAAAAAAAAAAAATGGATATAGATATAGATACATATATATGACCACACTTTTACCTTTTTCCATCTGGGTTCTCACTCATCAGTTAGAGTGTAGTGGCATGACCAGGAGCCCAGATCTCCTAGGTTCCAGTAATCCTTCACCCTCCCAAGTAACTGGGACTACAGGCACGCGCTCGGCCAATGTTTTTCTGGTAGAGATGATGTCTCGCTATGTTGCCTAGGCTGGTCTCGAACTCCTGGGCTCATGCAACTCCTCTTACCCTAGCTTCCCAAAGTGCTGGGATTACAGGCATGAGTCACCATGCCCAGCCTGATCTACACTTGTTTTACTCTCCAGAGCATCTAACCTCTAGCAGTGTTTTGAAAATACCATCATGTAATCCTTGCACTGACCTTTACTTTCTAGTACCTGGACCCTCCACCTAGACCAGGAGTTCTTTACACAGGGTCCTCAGAACCCTAAAAAGACATCTGTCTATGAGCAATTTTTGGAGGTCCATGAACTTAGATGGGAAAAATTCACATCTTTATCTTGACTAACTATAGCTCAGTGGTCCCCAACCTTTCTGGCATCAGGAACCAGTTTCAAGGCAGACAATTGTTCCATGGACTGGGTGGAGGGGGGATCATCAGCCATTAGATTCTCAGAAGGTGCGTGCACCCTAGATTCCCCCATATGCACTGTTCACAACAGGGTTCGCTCCAGTGAGAATCTAACGCCACTGCTGATCTGAGCTCTGCTTGCCCACTGCTCACCTGCTGTGCAGCCAGTACTGGTCCACAGCCCAGGGGTTGGACTCCTGCTACAGCTGATCCTCAGCATTTCCTTCAATTAGGCATAAACCAATACAGGCTACATACCATAGTAGTATTAGAAATACCTGTGACTCAACGGAATATTACCTAGTCATAAAGGAGGACAAAATTATGAACTTCACAGCAACCTGGATGAACTTAGAGTCTATAATACTGAGTGATCTATCACAGAAACGAAGAACTGAGTCCCACATGTTCTCACTCAGAAGCAAACCTTGAACAATTATCATAATACTAGAAAGAAATTGGCAATAGTGGGAAACTGCCAGGGGACGGGAGGGGCAGGAATGGCAGCAGTGGGAAACTGCTGCAGGGGGGGCATACTTCATCAACAAGGGTACCTGCATAATTAATATATGTATACTTAACCCTGAATTGTACCCCATATCTTTTTTTGGGGGGTTGGAGTCTTGCTCTGTCGCCCAGGCTGGCGTACAGTGCAACCTCCACCTGCTGGGCTGAGGTAATCCTTCCACCTCAGCCTTCCAAGTAGCTGGAACCACAGGCACATGCCACCATGCCCGGTTAATTTTTTGATTTATTGTAGAGATGAGATCTCGCCAAGTTGCCCAGGCTGGTCTCGAACTCATGGGCTCTCACCTTGACCTCCCAAAGTGCTGGGATTATAGGCATGAGCCACCGCGTCTAGTCTTGTACCCCATATCTTTAAAATAAAAAAAATAAGCTGGGCTCAGTGGCTCAGCCTGTAATCCCACGCCTTGGGAGGCTGAGGTGAGTGTATTGCCTGAGCCCATGGGTTCAAGACCCACCTGGGCAACTTGGTAAGACCTCATCTCTACCATAAATTAAAAAAAAATTAGCCAGGTGTGGTAGCGCGCGCCTGTAGTTCCAGCTACTTGGAAGGCTGAGGTAGAAGGATCGCCGGAGCCCAGCGGGTCAAGGCTGTGGTGGCCAGGAGCGGCCACCGCACTCCAGTCTGGGAGACAGAGTGAGACTCCAACTCAAAAAAAATTTTTTAATTAAATTTAATTTAATTTAAAAATACCTGTGCCTCTGTCATTACTAGAAACCACAGATATTTAATGTCACATTAAAGTTGTTGCAGATATCCTGAAATATTTTCACTGATGCCTACTTTGAAATTATGGTAGTTATTAATCTACCATAAATCTTGTTATTAAATGCATTGATAAGGAAGCATATATATTACAAATGTAGTTTTTCAAAATCATTTTAGTCCTTTATAATCCTACAAATTTTATTTTAGGCATGTGAAAACATGAGTGTCCAAGCTTTGCCAATACATGGTTCAAAAGATGTTAAGCGCTTCTTAGGGTCAGCACCACAATTTACATACCTCTGCCCCACCCCAAGTACCTAGCTCAGCGTCTTGCACCCCAAGGATACTCAGTATGCACTATGTAGATGATGGAAGTGTAGGGTTTAATTTCGACAGTAAACACTTACTTTGCAGATCTTTTGGGCATGCGCTCCTGACAGACTGCCTCCAAAAACTGTAAAATCCTAAAAAGAAACCACAAATCAACAAGTAAAATATAGAGATTGGCCAGTTATCTATAGAAAACTCATAGATAAAAGTTTTTTAAGGCTTTTCAAAAGTTTAAGAACTTCAAAAAAGTCTAATAAGACTATTCCATAGGACAATTAATGAAATATCTTAAAGAGAGTTCATATATTGTCAGAAGCAAAAAACCTAGTCTTTGCTCTATAAAAATGATTTGTAGCTCTGAGGAAAGAAAAACTTATTCACAATTAACCCTAATATCAGATTCCATGGACGTCAAACAGCCCAGCGTTTCTATTTTTAGGAAACATTTGCTGTTTTAACAAGGGCAGTTAAAAAAAAAAAACAAGACTCAGAGCCCTCACTGCCTTCTCTGCTTATGGACTTTCATTAGGTTGAGATGTAAAGGGCTCACTCGGGGTATGACCGCTTTCCTAAAACCCCTCAAAAAGACAGCAGAGAATTAAGAACGGGGTCAGCCCATGACGACAGGAAAGGATGGGGAGACAACAGCTGAGAAGAGACGGAACAAACGTGAGAGAACTGAGAGCACAAGAACACCTGACTGAGGAGGAGAAAACGGAAGCCCACACAGCTGCAGAGACAGTAATCAAGGAGGGGGCAACCAGAAACCACGGAAAGCAGGCATGTGGAGGGATGGAAGATGGATTAATGGGAGGCCTGTGTTAGAAAGAGTTGGACTCCACAGGGCCTCTCCTTCACCTTGAGAAGAGAAAGGTTTACTCTCTAATCATAGCCAAAAAGAAGGCAGAGTGAGGCTGAAAACAGGTGAGATTGGGAGTCTGTATGCTGAAAGAGCCAGTGCTGGCCTCTCCTCCTCTCTCCCCAGAACACACCCACAGCCAGGTGGCAACATCTTGGAGATCATCACACAAAAGCTGGCTCATCACTCCCACCCTCAACATCCTTCGGAGTCTATTTCAATTGCCCCGTTTTCAAAAGTTTCTTCAACCCTGGACGTGATTTTCCCTTGTCCTGAGTCCACAGCACTTGCCGGAAACCTCTCTCACCTGTGTCACTTCTGTTCTGTCCCATTCTACCTATAATACGATTAGCTTCTGTAGGGTAGGAACTCTGTTATCTCTACTTCCTCCTCACTCCCACCCTACCCCACGGGCCTAAGAGGTGCTAAAAGTATCAGTTCAGTGAATTGTTATATCTGCTTAATAGTCAGGCAAACACCATGTCCAGAAAACATAATAACTTTCTGTTCCATCTATCTTTCAAATGGCTCCTTCCATACAATTTTTTTCCAGCTCTCATAAATTGCAGGGGGAAAAAAGGGGGCGGGGCCGGGTAGTGGTTCACGCCTACAATCCCAGCACTTTGGGAGGCCGAGGTGAGAAGATTGTGTGAGCCCACAGGTTCAAGACCAGCATGGGCAACTTCGTGAGACCTCATCTCTACAATAAATCAAAAAATTAACTGGGCATGGTGACATACGCCTGTAGTTCCAGCTACTTGAAGGCTGAGGCAGAAGGATCACCTGAGCCTAGCAGGTTGAGACTACAGTGGTCATGAGCATGCCACTGTACTCCAGCCTGGGCAACAGAGTGAGACTCCAACAAAAAAAAAAAAAAGAGATGTGATTTCTGCAGTTCAGCATGTGGTACACCAATTAATAACAGCTTTAAAATATTTCAAAGGTAATTCAATTAGTAAATGAGTACTGTTTACCATAGATTTTAAATTAACCAAATATAACTATGTTATAACTTTTTTTCTAAGTTGGAGTCTCACTCTGTCACCCAGGTGGAGTGCAGTAGCACGCTCACGGCCACCCCAGCGTCGACCTGCTGGACTCCAGCGATCCTTTCACCTCAGCCTTCCAAGTAGCCAGAACTACAGGTGCGCACTACCATACCCGGCCAACTTTTTATTTTTACTGTAGAGACAAGGTCTCACCAAGTTGCCTAGGCTGGTCGCAAACCCACAGGCTCAGGCAATCCACTCGCCTTGGCCTCCCAAAGTACTGGGATTACAGGCTGAGCCACCGGGGACTTTTATAATTTTTTTTGAGTCGGGGTCTCACTCTGTCAACCAGGCTAGAATGCACAATCATGGTTCACCACAGCCTTCATCTCCTGGGTTAAAGTGATCGTTCCACTTCAGCCTCCCAAGTAGCTGGGACTACAGGCATGTACCACCATGCCAGACTAATTTCCCCTTTTTTTTTTTTTTTTTGTAGAAATGAGGTCTCACTATGTTGCCTAGGCTGGTCTCAAACTGCTGGGTTCAAATGATCCTCTCACCTCAGCCTCCCAAACTGCTGGGATTAGAGGCATAAGCCACCACGTCCAGCCAATATAACTATTTTAATATCAAACCCAGAAAACATTTTTGGCTCCTTGACAACCTACATAAATTTAGGTCCACAAAAGGAACAAAAAACATTTTGAATTATATATGTATTTCCACCTCTAGAAGGAAAAGAAGGTCAAATCCAAAATAGGATACAGCACATTCTCTGTGTTAGTTTTCGATGACTGCTGTAACAAATTAACACAAATTCAGCAGTTTGAAACCACACAAGTTTCTTATCTTACAGTTCCACCGTTCAGAAGTCCTACACAGCCTCACTATCAACCTGTAACCAAGGTGGCCAGGGATGTGCTCCACCCTGGAGGTTCCGGGGATAAAATCTGTTTTCCTCTCTTCTCCAGCCTCTGGAGACCATTCACATGCCTTTGCTCATGGTTCCCTTCCCTCATTTTCAAAGCCAACTGTCGCAGATCACGTCATCATTCTGACCACCTCTTCTACCTCCCTCTTCCACTTTTAAGCACCTCGGTGATTACACTGGGCCCACACGGATAACCCAGGCTAATCTCTCTACTGTAAGGTCAGTGATCAGCAACCTCAATTCTTCTCTGCCGTGTAAGATAACACATTCATAGGTCCCAAGGAGAAGGACATCTTCGGGGAGCCATTACTCTGCCTATGACATTCTCCTACAGTCTCAGTGGGAACAAGCTGTATCTGTCTTGATGCAGCCTGATAAAATCTGTATGAACACTTCCGTGAAAGCCCAAAAATCAGGGGTCTGTGATTCTAAGAGTCAAGTCCCCTTCACTAGGCTGCTCCTCTCAGGTTAACATACACTGCCCAGGGCACAGACTCAACCCTGCCAAGAGGAATTTCACTCACTTGGAATAAACCCCTGGTTCCTGTGACAACTTTGGACAAGACTGCATCCCTGTGAGCCTCCCCAGAACAGACTAAGGACTCCGCCTCTCTGAGAAAAAAATAAGCCACGCATGGATGGTGGCCCATGCCTGTAATACCAGCACTTTGGGAGGCAGAGGCAAAAGGATTACCTGAGCCCAGGGGTTTGAGACCAGCCTGGGCAACTTGGCAAGACCTTGTCTCTACAATAAATTTAAAAAATTAGCCACTAAGCCGGGTGCAGTGGTTCACGCCTATAATCCCAGCACTTTGGGAGGCCAAGGTGAGAGGCCTGCCTGAGCCCATCGGTTTGAGACCAGCCTGGGCAACTTGGCGAGACCTCATCTCTACAATAAATCAAAAAACTAGCTGGGTGTGGTGGCACATGCCTGTAGTTCCTGCTACTTGGAAGGCTGAGGTAGAAGGATCACCTGAGCCCAGCACGTCAAGGCTGCGGTGGTCAAGGTCATGCCACTGCACTCCAGCCTGTGCGACAGAGTGAGACTACTACTAAAAAAAAAAAATTAGCCAGTCATAGTGGTACATGCCTATAGTTCCAGTTACTTGGAAGGCTGAAGCAGGATTGCCTGAACCCAGCATATCGAGGCTGTGGCAGCTATGATCCATGCCACTGTACTCCAACATGGGTGACAGAGTGAGACCCTGACTCAAAAAAAAGGGGGGCAGGAACCACACAGTATAATACTCTGGGCACATATACTGAAAGACAGAAAGTAAATCCTTCAGCTGCCCCCAACTACAAGCAAGTTTTCATTCCCCAAGATTGATTTCTTTCACATATTTTGCTCCTGGCACTGTCCGCCAGGAAAGCTCAGTCTATTGAAGTTATAAGATACCTGACTGAAGATATAAACCAATCTTCCATTGATTCGGCCCCGTCCAGTGACCACGCTGTCTCCAGGAAACTATCAGAAAAAAGGCAAAAATAAAGGTTAAAAACAGTCCAAGTACTTCATTTAATGAACACAGCAACTATGCCTCAATAAAAGATAAAAACAAACAAAACCCCAACCCCTTAAAGCTCAATATGAACAAGGAACCTGAAGGAATCCCACCCTCCTGCTCCAGGCTGCACAGCAAGCACGGTGCTACCGCTTCCTCAACAGGAGTGAGAGGCACCGCAGCCTCAGGCCTCATCCTCCTTCCTAAAAGCAAAATAACCAAAACGGCCCAGGGCCACCACTATCAAATGCTCATAGGAAAGAGAAAGGCATATAAAGAAACATGGCAACTTCTGCAAAGTCATACACCCTCCCAGCCCAAACGTTGAAGAGGCAAATCTGCTGGGTGCAGTGGCTCATGCCTGTCATCCCAGCAATTTGGGAGGCAGAGGCGAGAGAACTGCCTGAGTCCAGGGGTTTGAAATCAGCCTGGGCAACTTAGTAAGGCACATGCATGTGGTTCCAGCTACTTGGAAGGCTGAGGTGGAAGGATCACCTGAACCCAGCAGGTCGAAGCTGTACTGCAGCAGGGAAAATGGAGCTAGACTCCTACTCAAAAAAAAAAAAAGGGGGGGAACCCCCTCGGGTCCCCTCCCACTATGGGTACTTTTCTGTCCTCTCAATAAATCCTGCTTTCTAAAAAAAAAAAAGAAAAGAAAAGGTAAGCCCACCATTTTGCATGGAATCTTGGCAATCACTCTGTGACCACAATGTCTCAAATGCAGCCAGCTCAGGAGGTGCCAAGTTTACAAATCTTGGGTCACAAGCAGCAGATATGCAGACCTGAAGAGAACTGGACCACTGCAGTTTTTTGGACCAAGTGAGTCCAAAAAACTGCAAGCATCCATGGAGAGCATTCAATTGAAGGAAGAAGTGTGGATGACTCTGATCTCAAAAACTCCAAGGCACAAAATTAAAGTGTGTCCAAGAGGCGACAGGCAGCCTTCAGGGGTCCCTGGTGTCTGGTTCCCAGACAGACCAGAATACACTAATAAAAGGCACTCTCGCCCCTGCCTCCAAGTTGGTCACTTTGTACTAGTCAGAACTCTGAACCTGCAACCAGAGCCCCGGGACACCCAGAGCCCAAGTCACACGGAACAGGGTGTGAGCAGCTCCCACGCACTCCATCTGCAGACAAAGGTGAGGGGGGTACCTGAAGGCCCCCGTCGTGTGTCTCTAGAAGCACTTCAGAGAAAAGCCCCACAGACCCGTTAATCAAGTGCACAGGCCAGTAGAGTCACAGCTGGGAGTGCTCACAGTCAACATCCGAACAGGTACCTTATTCTTATCAGCAGCCATTCCAAAATCTGCACATCTGTGTTCCACAAACATGTCGCTCTCAACAAAGCTGCCAGGATCCAGCAAAAGATCTATCCGCTCCCTGGCAGTTAGCTTTCCCTAAAATGCAACAAAGATCATTCAGTGATGTCATCCAAAGTTACTAAGCAGGGCAAGGGGCACTCATGGGACAGTGAGGACAGGTTTTGCTCCTTCAAATGCAAAATCTCCATTCTGTTCACCCCAATGCATTTCCCATTCTGTCAAGCCTGCCCAAGACAGAGGGGTTTTGCTGGTAAGGAAATCGGGGCAGACGGGACAGAAGCCACCCAACTGTGGAAGGTAAATAATAGGAGGAAAAGGTGGAGAGAGGTGGGGAGACGGCACACCTGATCCTGGAACAAAATAAGTTCCACAAACACTGACTGGAGACCTAAGAAGCCACAAAAAGAAGAATGGAGACACAGGAGATGGAGACTAAAGCAGGCTTAGGGAAGAACAGAGGTTACACCCCCAGCTCACAGTTCTTTCAAGAGAAGCCTACACAAGCGCCTAAGAGGGCCCAACCCCCACCCAGCTCCCAAGGACACACTACTTCCTGGTTCCTCTCCTGCCTCCTCCGTGGGCTTCTTCTTCTCCTACTCTCCTACATTGACAGTGACACTATGACAGAGAACCCCACAGCTAGGAGGGGCTGAGTACAAAGGAAGTGGGGCAGAGAGAGCTAGGGAGCTCACTTGAGAAAAATACAAAAAAAAAATGCTTCTTGGAGATGGAGCTCTCAAGCTATCATGAGCCTCCATGGTGTGGGCTCCCAAGCCCTCATTCCCAGCCAAATACCGAAGCCGGCTGTCCTTTCACCTCCAGAAAGCACCTCAGAGTGGCTATTTTCTACCCCTAAGGAAGGTAGCCAAAGCCAGTGAGGTTGTGTTAAAACGAACGGGCAATGTATACACCATCAGGTCAGGCAAAATAAGTTTTAGAAAAGCAAACTGGCCACATATATACACAATTTTTTTTAATATTTATACCTTTGACCCACTGACTCCTCTGGGAACTCCATCCTACAGAAACTGTCCAAAATTGTTTTAAAGGGGGTGGAGTGGGGGGTGTAAATCGAGTCTGCCTCCTGACTGAATCAGCCTTAGCAAAAGAAAATCAGCTTCTGGGCCGGGCTGGGTGGCTCAGCCTGTCATCCCAGCACTTTGGGAGACTGAGGCGAGTGGACTGCCTGAGCCCGCAGGTTCGAGACCCACCCGGGCAATAAATAAAAAAAGAAAAGAAAAGAAAATCAGTTTCTGGAAGCTGCATGTAAACCCAGTAGGCTCTGCCTGGGAAACGCTGGGGTGATGCTCCAAGGAGGAACGGATCAACAGGCCCCAACAGAAAGATGAGGCCTTCCAGGGGGCGACCCGACACCTCCCTCGGTGGGGACAGCCGCTCCCACGGAGGACAGCAAGCATTCCTGGCACCACAAACCGCCAGCCACTTTTATATTTTCCTCCCAGTGTCAAAAGGAATTGTCACTTTCGGGCCCTTGTAAAATGAGAATGCGTGACATCTGAATCGGCATTTTGGCGCACACCTACGTAAAGGGCTGCTCAAACCTCCCCAGGGAAGATCCCTCCGACCCAGCCACTGCCCCCATGCCCTTCGCCTGGAAGAGTTTCACTTCCGGCAGGGCGCGGTGGCTCAAGCCTGTCATCCCAGCACTTTGGGAGGCAGAGGTTCGAGACCAGTCTGAGCAACTTAGCGAGACTTCGTCTCTACAATAAAATTTTTTGAGTTGGAGTCTCACTCAGTCGCCCAGACTGGAGTGCAGTGGCC